ATTGTTTCACAAAGAAATCATAATGAGTCGCTTTTAATTTGAATGCAGAGGAAATGAAGTACTTTAACTTTGATGCCGCGTTTTTCGGTGTGAACTGGCTAACTGAAAATTTAACAGTGTTGTGACTTTTGATGGCACGCACCAACAAGATTTGCTTATAGGGAAAGTGTAGAATTGAAAGTGCAGATGGATGGGTATCCCAACCTTTGGATTTCCACTTTTTTTTCTTTTTGAATCCCTCGAACGTATAATGAGAAGCATCTTTTATTTTTCTTTTGCAGCAGAAAGGCATTTGAGAAAACATGTTCATAACCTTAATTTCAAAAAATGTCGTAGAGGAAAAATTACATTTTAACTTAAGAAAAAAGAAATTTACTTAAATGACAAAGGAAGATCACCCAAGCCGGATATTTCCTTTTTTCATTTATAAACATAAACAATGTCAACATTATAAAATGAAAATAATACTCCAGTTTCGAATTCTCCAATGCTCTGTGTTAGCCTCATCTGTGCGCAAAATATTCCTTATTGTGAGAATAAAAGTGTGAGATTTCAAATCAAATTTATTGTCTCTCTTCACATAATTCCATGCGTTTTCTCGAGCTATCAATGAAACAAAAGAATATGTCACTTGGTTTTGAGGCTAACACAGAGCAAACCAGAACTCGAAATTGGAGTATTGCTTCTTTCCTTATTGAAGTAAAATATTACGGGTTATTAACGATCGTACAAATTGAATAAAAAAATATATAGATGCACAAGAATGGAGAATAGATTTTTCCAGTACAAAAAGGAAAGCTATACTAATTTTTAATTAAAAGTGTTTTGGACCGGCCGGATATATATCTACAATTGTGCAATCATTGTTGTGACCACGTGAACCCACTTTCAAAAAAATACACTAAAAAAAGACTTCTTTTTTGTAATTTTCTTATACAAGGGACAACGTTTTCTTTGTGTGATTTTTGTTTGTTTGTTGTTGATTTTTTTTTTCGTTTTTTGCTGTTGCAACTTTCTTATATAAGGTATGTTTTTTTGTAATTTTCTAATACAAGCGACGTTTTTTTTGTGTGTTTTTTGTTGTTGTAATTTTCTTATAAAAGTATGTTTTTATTTGTAGTTTTTTCTAATATACGGTACAACATACCTGCTTCAAAGTTTTCTTGCTTCTTGTTTCGCTAAGTATTATGGTGCAATGTTACTGACAACTTCAGCGAGTCAACATCACGTTTGACCTATAATAACTAACCACAGTCTCACTTTACTGGTTTAGTAGGCCGRATAGACAAATGAATATTAATTAACCGGGTTTTTAAATTTTTTAAGAGGTCCGCGTGCACCCGAGAGCCTTTGCGCGATTTTCTCAAATACGAAAAATCGCCGTTATCGTGTATGTAACTGTATATAAATACAGTTTTTGGCCTAGAACAGTTAACGAATGGAACAGTTTACCACCAAATACCATAAACATGACATCAGAAAGCAATTTTAAAGCAGTTGTAAATATTTAAAGTCTTTGCTTAAGCTTTATCCTTTGCCAATTAATTATACAGCGGGTTAGCCCCGTACCAGAGACTTAGTCGGCTCCTCCTGGGTTCCTGGAAGAAATATATCTGTTCTGATATCCCAGCCAGCTGTAAGTCGCATTAACTGGTTGCCAGCGAGAAATTCAGGAAAAAAAGAACTCTCCAGGCAAGGAATACTTTCTAAGAATTTTTTTGTCAGGAAAATAAAAATTTCCCAACTAAATTAAAGATATACATAAGCCATTTTTGACCATAAAATTAAAGCGTTTGCCAGGAATAAAAATTCCTTAAGACCAAAAAAAAGTATTGTAATTACGATAAATAAACCTTTTTTGACCACAAAAACGGTATATAAGCCTTTGCGGTTGTTCTTTTAAAAAAACGTTTGCCTGGAACACAATCATTTTAAAGAAAGAAAGGAGCCACATTTGCTTGTCAACAATATGTTGCTCAAAAATCCCTTTCTCAGGAAAAAAATCGTACAAGAACAGTTATTTTAGAAGAACAGATCCCATCGGCTTCTCCTGCGGTAAGTARAAGTCGGACAGTTGCCAGTATAGGCGGATCTTAGCTTCAGGGGCGGATCCAGCTTTTTTTAAGTGGGCTGCTTTTGTCGGTAATATATAGCTAAAGTATAGCAGTTGGAACTGATTATTTTTGTTAGCTTTGTTTCAATGCACAATTTGACCGGAAGCAAATTGACTTTTATTGCAACGTATCATTGACTACACTACTCAAATAGATTGTTAAGCAGCACAGTGGCAGACACATGTTGTGTATACTACTCGTTTTCTCTATAGAAGTACAACAGGAGTATAAACAGCAGAAAAAAACGTTTATATTGATATATAAAAAAAATACGTCGTCCAAAAAAAGGGGGAAAGCACCCCCCCCCTGGATCCGCCCCTGACTTTAACCTTCTTTTGAAATAGGTACATGGTTTGTTGGCATCGTTCTCAGTAATAAACTCTTACTTAGGTAGTAACTATTTAGAAATGATTTCATGGACAGAATTGCTCGTTTTCAACCATTCCCATGAGATTCAAAAGATAAAAGACTGCGGCCATGTTGGAGGAATGAGAAACCCTTTGTAAAAGGGGAGAGCCTACGTAGCACTCASTTGATGTAATATATTCATAAAGATACAATACAAAACACATAATACAATAGAACGAGAAACAATAGAATACGATACATTTTATGAATACATTACATCAACTGCKTGCTACGTAGGTCCCCCCTTTGTAAAAGTTCAACCAAGATGGCCGCTGTGACATGCAGTGAAAACGAAGAATATGAACTTTTTTTTTTCTTTTTTTTAAACTCAGTGATGATATATTTATTTATATTTTTACTAGTATATATAATTATGTAGAATTTTTACAAACATTTTTTCTTTAAGCGGACTGGAGGAACTTAACCCGGCAAACGAAATTTCATTGTTTATTACAACGGTCAGGTTTGTAGAATACATTCAGTATTCAGCATTGAACAAGTCAAACATCAGACTAGCACACTTTAGTAGTGTGATTTTGTGTCTACTTAAGTCTGGTGAATACCATTGAAAAAATCGCGCACTTAAAAGGTTGTAAATTTGATGTAAATATTATGTAAGTCTCCGAAATGATGTAAATTTGATGTAAACATCAAATTTACATTTTCGACACTTACATTAGTCTCCTTTCGCATCCGTTTTCGCTTCGGGCTTCCTGTCCCTCCCCTCAAACTACACTTACATAATATTTAGAGCGGTTTTCGTATGACTGTGCAACGGCACAGATAACAACACGGACACGGYACGTTCACGGAACCTCGCCTTCTAGGATTAACAATACATCACCGCTACGGCACGGTACGGTCACAGCGCGAAAGTACCATGTTTTTTCAGTCATATGAAATCCRCTGACTACATCATATTTACAACCTTTAAAGTGCRCGATTTTTTCSAGTGTAGAGTGGCTTTCATCAGACTAATACACCTTAGAAGTTTGCTTTTGTCTACACTAGTCTGGTGAATACTAGAGTGGCTTTCATAAACCCTTAAACTATACTTTAGCGTAATACACTTAACTACTTTAGACGTTTTTTTCTAGATATATCGTTAACCGGTGACGCAATGTGTAATTTTGTGTGATTCACCGAAAAAACCTGAAGAAAAACTTGCACATTAAAGAGCATTTTAATATAGATGTAATACTATGAACGCTCTGACTTTCTATATCATAAAAGCAATGAAGAATGGATGCTGTGTGTTTAACGGTGAATAAAAAACATCCTTTATCTCTTACAGTAAATAAATTGTAGTTCTCCAAATTGTATTTCATGAGTTTGAGAAAACAACTCGAATCTTTTCGGTGTATCACACATTGTTTTAGGTTTGATGAAAGCCACTGTAATTTCATCACTTCAACATCTCATTCACTATGTCAATGAAACACTTCACAACAAACTGGTCGAACTGGTCTAACGTTAGTAGCTAATAACTTGGTTAATGCAGCAATTTTCATCATTTGGTTATAAAAATCATTCACGGATATAGAGAATCAATATATCCGCTATTTCTATTCTACAAAATYACCATAATTATTAACTATGACTGCAACAGCGACGCCATTTTGTACAGCAAAGGATGATGGGAATTGTATTCCTCACACTTTTTAAAAGCGGTTTTTTGTATAAACTACACAACTACTTCCTTTTCTTGCAGAGAAAAAGCAACAGTCTTGGAGGACTCATTTAACGGACATGAAAAAGTGCGAGGATCACAAATCCCCCATAATGCATTCCAGTACAAAGTGGTGTCATTGCCAATATCGAGCCCAGAGTCTTCACGACTAATGTCAGCGGCATGCTGACGCATTGACTTCCGCTGGATAGCAAAAGTGCGGGCTCTGGGTACGAGATTGTGTCAGTGTAAATAACCCTTATTGCGTTTCAYATGATCGGCTTGGTTGTGTTTCACAGGTAAAACAAAATGAGTTATTTTATCGGTTGAAGATGAAATTACACTTTTTATACCCACTAGGATAATTTGAGGGTTTTCGGACCATTTTGCCTAGTTCACTTAGCACACAATTTCATTGACATAGTGGCTGTCTATATGAAAACCTCTCTAAAATCAAAAATTAGCCTAAAAATATCACTGAATTCAACAAACTTATTTTTTTATCTTTACACTAAACAAAATATAGTATTTTATATTTGCAACATTAAAATTATACAAGGTTTCATCCAACATATCTACATGTACCTAGTTTTCTTCGTTATTGGGCTACCTGTATTAGCGTGGACACAGGTAACCCATTATTATGATAGCTTTTCAACAGGCATCCCAGCATAACATTTAGATTTCCGGTTAAAACTGTATACAATATATYTTAGTAATGTTATTGTTACCTATGATTAGGAAATGGAATTGATGAATATGTAGATAAAAATCATGTATAATTATTTTGAATAATTTCGATGTACATGGTTGATCTGTAGTATCATACCAGTTCAATTTCCCAATCATATCAAATTGACTCTTTACTAAAGTAAGCCARTACTCCATTTTACAGATTCCGGCGCCATATTGAAAGGTAGCCAAGCCTTTGCGTCTAACCAAAGCAGTCACTGAGCTTGCAGTATGCCATATTTGATTTTTTTGGTTTACCGGTACTAACGACACCGATACAAAAGGTAGAACGGAAGACCAGGTTTCCTGGAAACAAGGATGATCTTCGTTTCCTAGGAGCTACGTCTTCTACTTGTATTTGACCATACCATATTTACAGTTACGTAATTGCTTTATAAGATTTAAAGAGAAGTCGTTTATGACGGCTGGCTCAGCCACCACTGTCTTAGTTTGATGCAAAACGTTTGCTACATGTTCCTCTCAAGGTGGCACCAGTTAAGTTGCGTTCACGGAAAATAAAATTCTTATTTTGAAATAGASGTCTAGTTATGCTTGAGCATGTTTCTTTTCTCCAGGGAATCAATGCACTTGATTGACAGTGTCAATCATAGGCTKCCYAACTATTGCTTGAGAGAGAAAAGAACGAGCTGCGCTTTTATTAATCGACGCGCGCTCTAAGTGAAATGCGGATTACCTGTGGTACACGTCACGATCCCGTGCCTCGCGGGATACAAACAAGTACGACTAGTTTACATTCCTACATCCCGTGAGGCATAATAACAATAACACAGGTAATCCAAAAAGCGGGCGCCGATATATAATAAAAAGCGTGCGCWCATTCTTTTTTTCTCTCAATCAATCGTTGGGCAGCCTGTRTGTCAATCAGCTCATTTATAATGATAAGATTCAAATAGTACATATTGGATTCATATAGATACAGAGTTAGGAAAGCAACACCTGCTACAATCCACTGCGTTGAAAAACACAGCCCTTGTTCACGCCTCATCGCCTTTTATCATCTGTCTGATTCTAGACAAAGTGAGAGTACAATTTTCAGTACAGAAGATTGACAGCTGTCACTCAAAAAACCTAAATTCTCAAAATGAAGTGACAATGCCAAACATTTATTGACAACATGGTATTAAGTGCACGCATYATATCTGTGAAAGATTTGTTTAAGAAACAACAGAAAACAAAGGAYTTCACACTAATTTGCCTAATAAAAAAATTATAGAAATTCTGGCTGCTAACTTATCATATAACTTATTATATTTATCATAGAAGTATCTATGAAATACCTATATTTTTTTCCATTATGTCATTAAGTTGACAACACTCGAAGATAAAATCCGTATCTCCGCGCGCCCATGAATTATCCTCTATATATCACTGAMTTTTTAAGACACGTTTAAATTCTCACGAACTCATTGGTAGATCAGAATGTATCAAGAAGAGGACATGCACACTGTGCTGAGACCATTACGTCTTGCGCGCACTAAGTTGACAGAAAAGAATGATTTTTGATAATTTTTAGACTTAAA